TCTCCAAAATCCCTCTTTTTCTGCAAAAAATGACCATTCTTAACCTTTCACTACTGTCTTTTTACAAAAGAGTGTGAATGGAAAAAATCAAGAGATATTTACTCCATTTCTCTTGGCAGCACACGGATTTATATTCAAATATTTAACTTCTTCCTTCTTCTTCTTCTTGATATATACTTTCTTGATTTAATACTTTCAACACTACTATATAACAAATAATTTGAGGACCCCGAACTCAATTTTGATTCTCTACTGACTCTGCTGATCTGCACTGTTTCACTTTGTAAAAGAAGTGCGCAATGATCGGAGAAGGTGGTTTTGATGATGAGGGTAACAGGTCCTCAATCTCGTTACAGGATGATACGCCAAAGAATGACAGGAATGTTAGCGAAGATATGTTATCCCCGCAACGTTTCACACCTATCCTGAACTCATCCACATCCTCTGAAAGTACTCAACAGCGACAAGGTAACACTCTTCAATACCAGTTTGCCTACATCAAAGACGGCACTTGTAATACCTGTAATGATGTTCAAGCTAATGACACTGCTCTTACCTGCTTTTTGTGTAAATCATCATTTCATGCTGTTTGTCGAGATGCTGATAAAAATAGGATCAATAATGCTGTAATCTGTCCTCGCACTTTCTTCAAAGCATACTCCAACAGAAACGAAACCAAGGGTGTTAACAGTTCCAGATTTGGGACTTTTACGTTTGTGTGTAATGTCTGCAAGACACGCTCTGAACAGAACTCCGCAGTCAGTGCCGAAAGTAAAGTCGACCTGATTGACAGGCGAGTAGATAATCTGACCCAATCTATGGAGGACATGAAGGGTTTACTTATGAAAGTTGTGAATATGAAAACATCTCCGGACAAAACTGAAATTTCTTCTCCTCCATCTCCAGCACCAGTTGCCCCTTCATATCGCTCTGTATTAATCATGTCCAGCAAAACACCAGAAAATCAAGCAAAAGATCGCCAAGAAGAAGTTGACAAAATCATCAAAGACAACGCCATTCATGCTGACAAACGGTATGTCAACAAGAATGGGGACATTGTGGTTGTGTGTCCGACAACGGCTGACAGGGAAAATCTTGTCAAGAAAGTATCCCAGCAACTTCCAGATATGAAAACGCACCAGCCACCAGAACGTTTGCCCACAATCTCTGTTGCTAACCTTGCTGATAATTATTCTGAAGAAGATCTAGAAGACCTGCTCCTTCAAGCTCACCCCAACATTAAGGCATTAAAATCCCAGGGTGAAACATTTTCTGTACTAAAAGTTAAACCTCAGATCAAAAACAGCAGCAAGCATCAAGCTACTATACGAGTTAGTAACAATATCAGGAAAATCATAGAACAACAGGGAGATCGGCTATACATCAGTTCGTTTAGTTGCAAAGTTTATGATCAATTTCATGTAAAACGATGCAACAACTGCCAAGGTTTTGGACACTACAGGTCGGAGTGTGAATCAGAAAAAGCTATTTGTGGTTATTGTTCCAAGAATCATACGTCAGAAGATTGTCCAGAAAAGAAAACTAATAGCATTATTTCATGCTGCATTAACTGCTCTAAGGGCAAGTATCGGGATGAAAGAAACACACACACGGCATTTGATAGGACATGTCCAGCTTATGTTGCTGAACAGCAGCATCTCCGCAAAACTATCAATTACTACAGTTCAAAAAACTTGTAAGCAGTGGTCTGAAATCCTCTCCGGCGGAGATTCTTGGCTGTTGCTGGAATGTGAGATCTCTCAATAATAAGATTCAACCAATCATGGAATCTATAATCGACCAAGGAATCTCTGTCCTTTTTGTCACTGAGACTTGGCTCACCAGCATGAAGAATGATGTTACTGCTACCATCAAGTCTTACGGCTATAACTTGATTCACTACATCAGGAAAGACTCTGCTAAATGCAGAGGCGGAGGAGTTGGAATTATTTACAATTCAAGTGATTTGAACCTTACTCCTGTGTTTGATAAGTGTGGAGATACGTTTGAAGCAGTTTTAGGCAAATTTCGAGACTCATCGGGTGATACTGTCCTCTGTGCTTGTGTTTACCGACCAGGGTCATTGACTGATGTATTTTTTGAAGATTTGGATGAGTTTATTGGGAACATATTCATGAAATACAAGAAGTTTTTAATCTGTGGTGATCTTAATATTCATTTGGATGATCATAAATCAAGAAACACGGCCAAACTGACTGAAGTATTGGCCAGCTATGGACTGCATCAATACGTGAGAGATCCAACTCACAACAAAGGACATATTCTGGATGTTGTAATCTCCTCCCATCAGATAGTCAATCCAAAGAGTGTCACAGTAGACTCGCACACCTCGGAAATGTTCCCAAACTGTGACCATTTCCCGGTTACTTTTAGCCTCACAAAAACAGTTGCAAGCAATCTCAACAAGAAAAAAGTTATCACATTCAGAAATGTCAAAGAAATTGACAAAAATTGTTTTGCGGATAATCTTGCTGAGGAATTGGTTACTGTAATGGATCCTGAGGGTCTATCACAAGCTGAAATGCCGTCATTTGAAAGCCGCATCAGCCTATACAACTCTAAGTGCCTAACTGTGCTGAATAACCATGCTCCTCTCCTCACAAAGGAAATCAAAGAACGTAAGTCTGCCCCTTGGTTCGATGGTGAATATAAAGCACTTAGAAGCCAAAGAAGAAAAGCCGAGACAAAGTGGAAAATCTCCGGATCTTTAACTGACAAGAAACACTATGAATCAATCAGAGAGCAGTGCACAGAACTCTCAGACAGGAAGAAACATGAGTTTTTCAAAGTCGAATTCATAAAGCATTCCTATTCTTCTAAGAGTCTTTTTAGATTTGTGGACACCTTTCTTGATCGGGATAAAAGCATTGTGTTGCCTTCGTCGGAGTCTCTCAAGGACACAGTCGAAAACTTTAACGTATATTTTCAGGAGAAAATAAAGGCAATACGAAATAACTTTGATCATGTGGAGTCTGACGATAAAACGCCCTCTTACTGCGGAGAAAAACTAGCTGAGTTCTCTCCAACTACTCTAGAAGAACTAGAGGAGATAATCAAGGCATCTGAGATCAAGTCTTCTTCAATTGACCCTCTACCTGCAAACATCTTTAAAGAAAACCTTGAGGTTCTACTACCCGTCTTAGTTGACATAGTAAATGCTTCATTATCTTCTGGCAGTATTGATGGCGCTAAACTAGCTCATATCACACCCCTGATCAAGGGCCAGGGATTAGATAGTGATAATCTCAAGAATTACAGACCAATATCTAACCTTAGTTTTGTGGGCAAGTTGATAGAAAGAGTAGTGCTCAGGCGTCTAAATGAACATCTAGAAAACAACAACCTGAACATCCCACAGCAGTCTGGATACAAATCAAAACACAGCACCGAGACTCTGCTTGTGAGAGTTGTTAACGATCTACTCATTGCATCTACAGAAAGCAAGGCAACTGTTGTTCTTCTCCTAGATCTCAGCGCAGCTTTTGATACAGTTGACCACTGCAAACTACTGAACATCCTCAGAAATGAGTTGGGAATAACAGGGACAGCTTGGAAATGGTTCAGCAGCTTCCTCACAGGTAGATGTCAAACGATTAAAGTTGGAAATGAGGAATCTTATGAGATAGTGATTAAGTTTGGAGTCCCACAGGGCTCTGTGCTGGGTCCGGTCCTGTTCAACATCTACATTCGCTCTTTGTACTCAGCAGCACATGATTTGAACTTCTCCATCCAGGGTTACGCCGACGATCATCAGCTGTATAAAAGTTTCAAGCCAAACGAGGAGCCCACCGTCCTTATCAACGATGTTCCCAAATGTTTCCAAGAAATTAATGACTGGATGAAAAAACATTATCTACAGCTCAATGCAGGAAAAACTGAGATTCTTGTCTTTGGGACACCGCTTGTCCTCCAGCAGCTGTCTATAGGGGGCGTGTTTGTTAACTCTGAGACGTGTGTCAGGCTGTCACCTGTTGCAAAGAACCTCTGATTTCGTCTCGACTCTCAACTAAACTTTGGTGAGCAAATCAAGCAACTTAAAACATCCTGTTTTCTGAAACTAAGAGACCTTGCTAAGATGAAAACATTCCTCACAACCAAACAGATGGGAACACTGACTCAAGCAATTGTAATCTCATCGCTTGACTACTGCAATGCACTTTACTATGGTTGTAGTCAAGCCTCAATTACGCAGCTGCAGAACATTCAGAACCGAGCATGCCGTCTGGTTTTTGGATTAAAGAAGAGAGACTCAGTCGAGGAGAAGCTCAAATCCCTTCATTGGCTCAAGGTGAAGGAGAGGATTGAGTTTAAGTTATGCTTACTGATTTTCAAAGCAGTCAATGGTGTTGCTCCTGCATATCTGTGTGATCTAGTAACATTTGTTAGTTCGAGTAGCAGAAGAACTTCCTCCTTACACCTACCCGTCGGATCTACAAGATCACACCCAAGAGCGTTTCAGACTGTTGCTCCGAAAATCTGGAACCAACTACCAATTGAAATTAAGACTTGTTCCGATGTTGATCTGTTCAAAACATTATTAAAAACTCACCTGTTTAAGAAAAGTTATGGCATGAGCGATTAATTGACAATATAATAACTTTATGTTATTTGCTTAAACTGTTTAGGATGCAACCTAATGTCATGATCTTTTTGAACTTATTAGCAATTAGACTGTTAGCTCGCTTCACAAGCATGTCATCTTCGTTCCAAAACTTTTTATGTCCTATGCATACACTCCTTGATAGTTATCTTGTTCTAGTATCTTTGTTTCACACAATAGAGCATAAGTTTTGTGGTTTATCCACTGGGCTTAGAGTTTGTGTTTAAGCTACCAAATTTTATTATTTATTATATATATAAGTTACACTCTCTATCTTCCCATCAATGACACTTATATGTCTACTAAAACATTATTCTTCTTAATTTTTTCTAGATTAATTTTAAAATCAATAACAGACTCTGAATTTCTGTTATTGAAGATGGGAAAGTCTTCGATAACAAAGTTTGAGATCCGGCTTCACAACCCTCTGGCAGTATACTATGCCGGACAGACCATAGCAGGACAGGTGTTTCTCGAATTAGCAGCTGATCTTTACTTCCCTGACATTACCTTGGAAATGCATGGTGACGCCAATGTAAATGTATTTACATAATCCGAGTTTAAGTTATATCCTAGAGGGGGGGGGGTACCAATGGCATAAATGGCATAATGGAGAATTGGCCAAACAAAATTTCCATTTATGCCATGAAATTTCTATGCCATTCGATGAATTTTATGCCATTTTTCTCCATTCTATGCCATTCGAAATATGAAATTTTAAAACTTTGAACTGAGAATTTAATTTAACGAATTGTCTGCACCCCACTAGTACTGTCCACCTTTATCTCTATTTATTGTACTACAACATCTATTTTCACCCATTAAATTCCTCAAAATATCCCTAGCAATGGGCATTATTGAAATTTATAATTACGTTCAATGTATATCAATATGATATGATGATTTGGTTGATTGTGGACAAGTGACCGAGCAGTATGGCATAGTACACGCTACACACCGTATAACAGAGAGGACAGTCGACTGAATGCTCCCAGTCAATCGGATATCCAAATTAACAGTGGAAAACTGTAACATTACCAACTCGATTAAAATATTATTTGTTAATGATGTGTACAGATGTATCGTGTCGGGACCGTGTTCATGTAGAATGTTTTGAAATTTAAACATTTTCACAAGATTGATAATGATCTGTGTTTCGAATGGGTAGCCTCTTAAAAATAATATTCATTGATATCTCGATGAACCTGTATATATTAGTATTACATAGCAGTTCACCAAATGACCTGAAATACTTGCTTCCTATTATACAAAATTATGATGACATAATATTTTGCTTAAATATCTTCATATTCACTGCTGCATGGCAACATAGCACTCCTTAATTAGTTTTCTATAATAACGTTAATCTAGTATAATCATTGTAGGATTTTGAACATCTCACAATTTGGGCTGTAGGACTGTAGAGCGGGGGACTGTATGGCGTACTTGCATTGGTCAAAAGTAGGACCCAAGAGCGGAGTCAAATCACCAGAGTAGGAATCTAGAGCGGAACCCCCTTACCGGAACCATACTATAAGGACCCTAGAGTGGAGTCAAATCGCCAGGATAGGACTCTAGAGCGGAACTCCCTTACCGAAACCATACTATGAGGACTCTAGAGCGGTACCGACATGTAAATTTTGGACCGGTTAGAAATTTTAGATCGGACTGTAGAGTGGACTTGGTCGGAAGATTGATATCAGATTAGATGCAACTCGTGATTGATTATTATAATAGTGAGATTAGAATAATTCATGGAGTTGTTGAAGCAGAAAATTGTCCTAGATTATTTATATTATACATCATATCATATTGTAATTTTTAGATACGTTAGACAATTGTTCGGTATAAACTTCTTCCATTTGACTGAAATATCCTGATGCTACTCTAAAATGCAAAAAGATTCTTTGATAAAGAGGTATAATTATGAACTGGTCGATGTGATTTCGCTAAGCGAAATACCGACCAAGTACGTGCATGTGCACTCAAGCAGATCATTTAGGAATGAGGATCTCATCGCGTGACACTTTAGCACCTACTAAGGGTATCTCATGTTCAGTCTAGTGACAGGGTATGTTCCAGATCAGATCCCATCGCATAGCGGTTCTTGTTAGTGATTTCGATAGTGCAGTATAAATGTCACAGAGAATTTGGTTTAGTATATCACATTCGATTCCTACTCCTCTTTACAACTATCTACAATATGCTGAGTAACAAGGCCGTCTTCATCCGGGGACGAACAGCTGAGATGGGTACGGGAGAACGGACTGAAGAAGGACTACGACGAAGGAATTAACGACCCCCTTACCAATTCCTGGACTTCAGGTCCTGTTCGAGTGTGGATACGTAGACTTATGCACTATGCAGCTTGCCTTTCTCCCAGTAGACGATGTTCTCCCTTCTTTCATGGAGCTCCTAGATCTTATACCCTCCCACCTTGGCCTCGACGACTTCCTTAACTACTTCATGACGAATTGGGTACAGGGAGTTTCCACCGCTCGTAGCACCAAACCTGCCCGCTTTCCTCCGCAATCCTGGAACCTCGTCGACCGGACTACCTGCAACTTCAACTACGCAGAGGCCTTCAACAGAAAGTTTGCAGCAATGTTAAGACACTCTTACCCAACTATCTGGACCTTTCTTCAAGCCGTCTACATAGAACAGTCCACTACAGATGAGATGATGCTCAAGGAGAGTTACGGGGATGCTCCTCCTGCAAAACGAGCCCGTCAGCGTACCAAGGACAGCCGACTGGCACATTTAGTAAAAGTCTACGACGATCATGACATTGTCTCACTCTCCCACCTTGACATGTTGAGGAACGTGATGGTCGAGGAACTGAGTGAACTATTCTAAGATATTTGATTCGCAGTATTAATGTATAATAAGTTGTATCAATTCTATCATCATTATGTGACGACTATTATTAATCATTGATTAAAAAACATAGCTCAATCTTCAAAACTTTACTCTCAAATTTCTAACCGCTCTAAAATTTGCATGTGGGTACCGCTCTAGAGTCTTCATAGTATGGGTCCGGTCAGGGAGTTCCGCTCTAGAATCCTACCTTGGCGATTTGACTCCGCTCTAGGGTCCTCATAGTATGGGTCCGGTAAGGGGGTTCTGCTCTAGAGTCCTACCCTGGTGATTTGACTCCGCTCTAGGGTCCTACTTTCGAATTTGCTTTTCTTGAATAGTCAAATGTTTGGTATATGTTTGATATAATACATTTCTATTTTCTTTATTTGTCATATGAATCTTTAAAGATCATTCCAAGCGTTATAAAACATGAAACATATCTCTTATTCAAGTACTAATAATATTTGCGAATTTAAAGTCATCCTAAAGGTCAAATATGAAGAGCTAAATTCATGGCATAAATTGGCATAAATGGAGAATTGGCCAAACAAAATTTCCATTTATGCCATGAAATTTCTATGCCATTTGATGAATTTTATGCCATTTTTCTCCATTCTATGCCATTGGTACCCCCCCATCCTAGATCTGGAGGGGGATTATTTAAAACATATAATTGATACGTAGTTAGTTTAGCAGGAGCTATCAAAATACATGTGTAAATCGTCTATAATATGCGCACAGTAACGTGCTCGTGATCGGGAGTGGACCAATGATAGGGGACTTTGCACCCCACCCCACTCCACCCCACCCCACCCCACCCCACCCCACCCCACCCCACCCCACCCCACCCCACCCTTACAGCATAAACACGCAGTTATTTAACTCCGGGTATTTTATATTTTAGGTTGCTTGGACGGAGGAAGAGGGGAGTAGAGACAATTTGCGCACAGTTCGCTATAAAAACTCTGAGACCTACCTTAACATAGAACTGTATCTTATCGGGGTCGGTAAAAAAGAAAGAAAGCTTCAGGCTGGACGTCACAACTTGCCCTTCTCTATAGCTCTTCCCATAAACCTACCCTCCACTTTCATTGGAGATCATGGTTAGTGGATGAATCATGGTTAGTGGATAAATTGAACAATTGACATAAGTAGTGGATGTCCTTGCTGTACGGCAAGTTAAACAAGGAACTGAAACTACTAGGTTCCGTACAGACTCAACTCTGCACTCGTGTCAATATGTTCATTATATGCAAGCCTCTTGATTTATAATCACCGGGTCTAGTAATTGTTTAAGAGAGTTCTCTGGCAGTTACGAAACTCGAGAGACTGTGGGATACTGAAGGGAAAGGAAGCAGTTCTAACGAGCGCTTCTCAAACACAAGGATATATCTTGTGAACTTGGCTAGTATATATCAAACATTTGACATGGAGTTGTAGAGTGAGTTATGTGCCTCGCCGGGCTAAAGTAGTGGATGTCCTTGCTGTACGGCAAGTTAAACAAGGAACTGAAACTACTAGGTTCCGTAGTCCGTACAGACTCAACTCTGCACTCGTGTCAATATGTTCATTATATGCAAGCCTCTTGATTTATAATCACCGGGTCTAGTAATTGTTTAAGAGAGTTCTCTGGCAGTTACGAAACTCGAGAGACTGTGGGATACTGAAGGGAAAGGAAGCAGTTCTAACGAGCGCTTCTCAAACACAAGGATATATCTTGTGAACTTGGCTAGTATATATCAAACATTTGACATGGAGTTGTAGAGTGAGTTATGTGCCTCGCCGGGCTAAAGTAGTGGATGTCCTTGCTGTACGGCAAGTTAAACAAGGAACTGAAACTACTAGGTTCCGTACAGACTCAACTCTGCACTCGTGTCAATATGTTCATTATATGCAAGCCTCTTGATTTATAATGATGATTTATCATTACATATCGTTTGTAATTTTTCGATTTAACTTGAAACTCGATTACACACAGCGACAAAGATTGAAACTTACAACACATACCCACAGGGAGGGTCCAGTATAACTTGACTGTTAAAATTGACGATTTTTTAATGACAATAGCCAATATCGACATTGATGTCACAGTTGTGTCATTGCTCGACCTCAACCAGGATCCCAACTGTGAGTTTTCAATTTATCTTCTTTTTTTAAATGAGAAATGTATATGTACGGGTATCGGCCTTACAAAATGACAGTAAAAAGGAGATGGCTCTGAAATGCACAAAAATGAGTTTTGTTCATGTTTTATTATCAGATAGGTAGTTCAACAAGTATATTTTTCTACCCAGGGGTTGATTTGATTGAAAAACCTAAATTTGGCGATAACAATTGTCATCTTTAAAATCGTCTAAAAAACATGCCTTACAAAATGACAATTTCGTCACGGCTGTCATTTTTTAACAGCAGCCTATAGAAATTTGATTTCACCTAGGACAGCTACAGTTAGATAAATATGATAGATTTAAGATTAGAATAGCTTTTACAGGAAAAAGGATGATGAAAAAAATTGGGCAATTTCGCGTGAAATAGTGCCTTACAAAATGACAACCCAAAACGGCATCACTTCAAATCCGATTTGGGAAAAAGTTTCATTATTCTTTCACGTGTCTTACTGTTAGATATATATGTTGTTTATATTACAAGTTCTTTTTTTACCAGAATATATTAAAAAGGAATAATTTTTATACTTTGAAAAATTGAAAAAATGTCACTTTTGAGGCGTAAAAATAATTTTTTGTTTTCATACTTGAACACAGTATTTGGTTATATTTGATATGTTCTATGCCTAGATAGATCACTTTTCAGTGGGTAGTTAACGTTTGACATGTTAATACTCTCTGCTTTCACAAAATAGAAGCTTTATTTCGTTGAGTTTTGAAATGTTTTTAAAACATTTTGATATCAGAGCTGCACTTTTGTAATGCTACTTGATTGTTAACTGTCAGATTATGATTATTTTTAACTCCTTCTTGTATTGACTGTTTTTGATCCATTTTAGATGATGAAAGTAATTCAATCTGAAACATTGTCATTTTGTAAGGCTTTTCGGTGTCATTTTGTGAGGCATTTTGATCAAAATTGATGATCAAACAAACACATTTAGGCTCATCATAAGCTTACTGGGTTTTAGAATACCAATAATTAGGCAAGGGGCATCCAATATAAATATGCCATCTTTGTATCATAAATTAAAACTGTCATTTTGTGAGGCATAACACTGTCATTTTGTGAGGCTAGGTCGTTTTTTTTGTCATTTTTTCTACCAAAGTCACTAAATCAGTTTTTTTATTAAACCAGAGTAGACTTTGATTGACATAAGTCATGGTAGTACCTGGTTTCCTGGGGTTAAATTCAAAACTTTGGTCTCCATTCTGGTTAACAGTTAGGCGGGGCAATGACTGATCACTGAACAGCAAAAACGTCCATATTTATGTAAGAAATATAGATTCTATGTCATTATCATTCCTTGGGAAGTGTTAATTAATGCTTTTTCTTTCATACAGTAAAAGGAATAGGGTTCAATGTATAGGGAACCTAAGCAAGAGCATGGTCTATGTGGACTGTCATTTTGTGAGGCCTGTCATTTTGTAAGGCCGATACCCGTATAGATTTTTGTTTTATTTATAAAACATTAATTATAAAATCTATTTCAGCTAAACCAAAATACGACGGTTAAACCATAAAGATATTGGTGCCGACCCTACATAAAATACAGAATTTAAATTGAAGATAAAATGTTCTTAATATCTTAAAACAACAAGTGTTCTTATCTCAACAAGAAGTGTAAAATATTCAGTGATTAAGTTATTGTAGGCTAACAATAATAACATAGACCTTGATATGTCATAAAACTTTGGTTCTCCTCTCCACCAGTTTCCGCAGCTAACATTTGCTAGTTTTAAACGGGCTATCCAGATCACTGAATTTTTGAGGAAATTTCGAGGAAATTTTGCTGAAGCACCATTAACCAAAATTCGCTTAACAAGAGTAATCCTGTACCAGTGTACCTGGCAAAAGTTCCGCACACATTGGGACTTTCGCTAAGTGTCTCGATGTAATTCGACTTATATGACCTTAAATAACACTTGTTTCTCGGGTACACTTTTTCACCAGTGGGGCATATCTCGGAATCTCGGCATGTATATAAGTATATAGCTAAAATTTGCTAGTTCTAAAAGAGTAAAAGGGCTATCCAGATCACTGAATTTTGCTGAAGGACCATTAACCCTAATTTTCTAAACAAGAGGGAAAATGTGAAATTTCATTTTTGTGGACATAGGTTTTCCGTCTGAACTTGGGCAGTGTTTCTATTAAGTCAATGTAAAACCTTTTATCTTGTGTGTTGATAACAGTTGCTCTCTTATCAGTAAAATCGTTTAATCGCACTACGATCACCGTGTAGCCTTGAAATACAATTTAACTTTAATTAGTGACCTGTACATGATGGAGGACACAGATGTGCACTCAACATTTTTCACTGAAGCGCAACAGGACTTTAACACTTTGATTTCTAAAGTTGCAGAAGCCACGAACTGTGAACATGGTTTTCAGTTGAAAAGTTTGAAATGCCAACCAAGAAGGTTTTGTTACACTTAATGTTTAGTGTGTACAGTCAGATGAGTCTCTTCGTCACAGAAACTATGAATGCAACGAAAAGATGCTGAAGAATTGAAAAGCTTTCTCATCCGATTACAGGAGTCGGTTATCAAAGCCAAATTGAAGCAGTGTGTACCGTATTCGCTATGTTCACCAAAAGTCACCAGTTCTGATGTACCTCATTCGCCATGTTCTCTAAAACTTGCCATTTAGATAAGATACATTTACTCGACAAAGCTCATAATATATCTTAAAACATAACCGCTGATCAACCACATTATTTCAGGTGCAGCATCGCCGCGTACCATCAGTGGGAGTAAGAAGTTTGGATTTCTCTGCTGTACTTCTGGTCCACTCAGAGCTACACTCTCCTTCCCCAAGCTGGGGTGGGTGGGTGGTGAGACCCTCTCCTTTTCCGTTAGTATAGAGAATCTTAGCAACAAGGTCATGACCAAATCAACGATACAGCTGATTGAGCGCGATATTTTCACATCATCGTGTGGTCGTCAGCGGACCGTAAACAAGACAATATTGACCCGCAAGAGGGGAAGGATTGCACCGGGTGCCAGTTTCACGTGGAGTAATGTCGAGCTCCTCCTACCACCCCTCCCGCCCTCCCACCTCATCCACTGTAACATCATAGATATAATGTACACTGTGGTGCTCAGTGTGCATCCCTCATGGTTAGGGTCAGATCTGAACGTTCCGGTGAACATCACCATCGGTACAATCCCACTTCGTCAACAGGTGCAACACATCAATTACCAATACCAGCCAGACAGGAAAGCACCGCCTCCAGCCATAAGTGCACCACCACCAGACATTAGTGCACCAACACCAGACATTAATGCACCACCACTACCCAGCTATGAAGAAATGGTGCACGGTGGGGCGGCGATGTAGGGGACTGAGGGAGAAGGGGAATGAGGTCCAGGGAGGTGGGACTTATGCTCCTAGTTATCCGACTTATGCATTTAATAATAGCTAATTACTTCAAGACAGTCTACTCTTTATATGTTAGTCACTAACTGATCACTAACTTAGATAATAATAAAGTCACTGTCAGGTTCCACACTAAGTTATAATTAACACAATAAAAATACACTAGTCAACTATGTAAATAATCATCACTGTTGTAGTGACAATAATTATAATATTATTTATATATAACTATTTTTGTAAATTGGTCATTAGAACTACCGGCACCGTCCGGAATAAATATCTGTTTTTTTTTAATTTTTGTTATTTTAATGCAGTCACTCAAATAAGTTTATATCAGGACACTTTAACAAAGACACATACTCTGCCCACAATAAGGGGCCATAATTGTCTCAATTATGTAATTGTATAGAATTATTATTATTATTATTATTGTTTTTGTTATACTGTTTGATGATGTTTTGAAGAAAGTTTAAAAATTGCGAAAGAAAATGTACCGCATGTAATTGTACACTGTAGCGTTTTTAAACAACTTTTTAGTTTATGATAAGTGGTTGATGAATATAACTGTAACTGTTTGTTTTTTTTGAAATGTTGAATGAAGTTTTTTAAAGTTTTTGGTTAAAAAAAAAGAATAAACGATAAAGGTTACGTCATAATTTTCAATTTTCATTCTCACTTATATCTTTATATTAAATAAAATTATATTGTTATGTTTCTTATAATTTTGTAAACATTAGCCGGTGTACCAAAAACCGGTCCCCAAACAAACAAAATGGTGAAATTTTACAATTTGGAAACTTGATTCACCATGAAAATCATTCACCATTTTTTACCATTTGAATGTTCTAATTTCGAATTTATATCAAATCGAAATATTAAATTTGTATTCTGGTAAGTATACGATAATACCGAGAGCTCAGTTTCGATGTACCTTACTCCTGATGCATGGCCATGTTCACCAAAAGTTACTAGTTTTTATATACCTTACTCGCTAAGTTTACTAGTAATACTCGATCTGGCCGTCTGGAAGCCCATAGAATTCCAGTTCAGAAGCCGAGTAAGGAGGTGCGGCTACTGATGAGAAGCCTCCTTAAAGTTTATTTGGGTTAGAAACGACATCTGGGTCCCTACCCTCGCACAAGATTATTCTCTATTTTCTTGTTGTGTTCATAATTCTGACGTTATGTCAAAGTGGGTATCTATGTAATTTTCATAATAATTTAATGGTTACCTTCATAGTTCATGCCCACAGTTCAATATTTCAACCTACCAATTTACCATACCTTATACTCATTAACTTATAACTTATTATTTATATACTATAATATGTTTTGATTCTTAGTCCTTAGAAGGGCACTCTATTAACAGTTTTGGACTGATTTGAATGTCCTGCACAGCAGATCGAAGCATCTCTAAATTATTTACTATCTTTATTATATTGCTGTGTAAATTTGATTCTAATTCTAATTCTAATAATTCTCCAAAATCCCTCTTTTTCTGCAAAAAATGACCATTCTTAACCTTTCACTACTATACTGTCTTTTTACAAAAGAGTGTGAATGGAAAAAATCAAGAGATATTTACTCAATTTCTCTTGGCAACACACGGATTTATATTCAAATATTTAACTTCTTCCTTCTTCTTCTTCTTGATATAATTTACACTCTCTATTTTCCCATAAATGACACTTATATGTCTACTAAAACATCAGTCTTCTTAAATTTTTCTAGATTAATTTAAAATCAATAACAGACTCTGAATTTCTGTTATTGAAGATGGGAAAGTATTCGATATTTTTAAAAATCTAAATCTTTTCAAACAATACATAATTATACAGAATTGAATGCTTCTAAATAAACCCAGCAGTTATAAAAGGAGAAAACCGATATAGCCCTAATATCCACTATCCCAGTATGAAACCCAAATTATGTATTGAAAGAGGGGTAACCAAAACACAGTAGTGTAAAGTAAGAAATACATTGGGCCCTAGCAAAAAATTAATTAATCAATGAATTAAAACATATAATATTATTGTAATTATAGAAAATATATCACTCTGAAGGCTCCTTCTCCGAGCTAATGACTCTAAAGTTCCTGATAACATGAACTTTATCAGGCTCTGCTGTCCTTTTATTGAGTAGTTGGTCGACATCTTTCTTGTAGGCCATCCTGTCTGCAGCTGATCTATCTGGAGTAATGTAAACTGAACTAAACCCGTCTACATGTCTTAGTAGCTTAGTCTTGCTCAAGATGGTACGAGCTTGATCTGAGCTTGACAAAATGAATTTCACTGGCCTGACTCGTTCAATTGTGTCCTTTCCAACTCGTTTACATCTCAAAATTGTCGGTTTTTCGTTGAGATGGTCCAACAAAATACCAGATACCTTAGTATCCAGGTTCTCCTCAGTCTCTGGAAGCCCAAAGATAATCAGACTTTTACTTCGATCTTCTTCTAGGGAAACCCTTTTCACCGCAGCTTGGATCTTCTTCGGTGCAAAGGCGTTTTTGCATGTGTTTTTCAAAAGAGACGAAAAGGTTTTGATCTTTTTCTGAGCTTCACTTTTCACAGTTCCAATCTCATCATCCTTCTTCAAAGCTAACTTCTCCTGCAAATCACTGATTTTAGCCATATCTTCTTCTTGCTTAGAGAGCAACTTCTCTTGTAGTTCTATGATTTTAGTCGCATCCGCTATTTTTTCTTTCCTGAACATTCTGTTGTCGTCAGCTGTTTCTGTGGCGGATTGTAACAATGGACCACAATAATTGTCCAGCATACAGCACACTGTCTCTAACCATTCTGATAACCTTTCTCTAGGCACACTTCTCTGGTTCAGTTTATCAAACCGCACATCATCGTTGTGTTCAACTCCGATTTTACTTCTAATCTCCTTGAAAATACTGTCAGTCGCCATGTATATCTGATTCACATATATTCCGTAAGGAACTGGCCATTCACGACCATATCATCATCTAACATATCCATATGTTCATTCTGTAGCGGAAGTGGCATCGTACACGTTGTACAGAAAATGTACAAACAATGTGTAAGCCGTGAATATTGAGTGATTAGGAGCAGGCATGGAATAGAGTCTGTAGTACGAGATGTTCTATTAAATTATTATACTACATATTATAGTAAAGTTCTAAAAAAGATCATATTTTGTAAAGTTGTGTAAGCCGTGATTATTTGATCTAGATTATTTGATAGATTTTAGATAGTATTGTGTAATAAGGCAGTATTGTGTAATAAGGCAGTATTGTGTAATAAGGCAGTGGAAGTGGAACATCCAGTTCTGGTCTGTGGTTAGGGAAAGTTGGGAAAGAGAAGACAATGGCGATAATGGGTGAAACCTCACCTGGGCAGGCGAGAAATATATCACCCTCTAGAGGAGAGACAATGAATTTAGGAAACCTCAGACGTAAAGCCTTTGTGTAGACAGAGAGTCAAAGATAGCTCCTAGAAGATGTGAGTTCTAACAAACTATGGATTCAGAGGTCATCAGACAGGAAGCTTTGATAAAAAGATGAATAGTCGTAACAACTGGACTCGGGACAATGAAGCTTTAGTGGGAGATAAGACCAGCTGCCAAAGGTGTGAGCAGGGGCACGTGAGTCTGGTTAGAGAGGTCGGGTGAAAAACCACGGACAGGACATTATATAAGGTCCGGTGGAAAGGTCAGAAAGAGAGATAGAGTTTGCCCGATTCGAGGGCCATTGATATAGGTTACTTTGGAGCCAGGACCTGTTACGTCAGGGTCCCGGAGAGAGCATTATCGTGGTCTGTAGTTAGTGAACTGTGCGGAGGACATGAGCAGTCTGGCTTAAGTGTAGAGAGAGTCAACAATGATTAACTCAGGAGAGCAGGAATAGGCTGTGTTGTAGCCAGGGTTAACACGGGTTAATCCAACACGAGTGGGTTCGTGTCAACAACAATCGGGCTCAGGTGGAGCGAGAATGAACTATAGTGGATTTGGGCCTGATATAAGGACGGTCAGCGAGGACTGAAAGTGTTATGTAAGTGTAGTTTAAGGGTAAGACTTCGTTAGAGACGGTTAACGATGGTTAACCGTGATAGGTAAAGGTAGAGTAAGGACGTGTGTTTTATAACTTAGATGTAGGGCGTTATAAGTCAGAGTAATTAGGAAGTGTATTTTGTAAGTAATTGAATTGTTAATCATTTTGTTTCTTACCCTTTTTTACCATCATTATTACTTTCGTTTTTGTTGTTCGTAACCTAAATTACTACAAATAATCTACGAATCTGAAGCAAGTGATGACTGCTTACAAATGTATACAAATCTACAAAGCCAGAGAGACAATTCAACGCGCAAACATAACAAAGTTTGAGATCCGGCTTCACGACCCTCTGGCAGTATACTATGCCGGACAGACCATAGCAGGACAGGTGTTTCTCGAATTATCAGCTGAGCTTAACTTCGGTGCCATTACCTTGGAAATGCATGGTGACGCCAATGTAAGTGTATTTACATAATCCGAGTTTAAGTTATATCCTAGATCTGGAGGGGGATTATTTAAAACATATAATTGATACGAAAAGTCAGTTTAGCAGGAGCTATCAAACTAAATGTGTAAATCGTCTATATGCGCACAGTCACGTGCTCGTGATCGGGAGTGGACCAATGATAGGGGACCTTGCTGGGTAGGCAATTATTATAGTGATCATCCAGTAAAGCGAGTGATTGGCTTGCTTATTTGTTGCCACTTAGTGAAGATTAATATGGTCCCTAGTCTATATAAATTATTCATTGTGGTTACCTCGTTGAAATTGTGGATTACTCAACTCTTCCCACCCCACCCCACCCCACTCAACTCCACCCCACCCCACCCCACCCCACCACACCGCATCCCACCCCAGCCAACCCCACCCCACCCCACCCTTACAGCATAAACACGCAGTTATTTAACTCCGGGTATCTTCTATAGGTTGCTTGGACAGAGGAAGAGGGAAGTAGAGACAATTTGCGCACAATTCACTATAAAAACTCTGAGACCTACCTTAACATAGAACAGTATCTCATCGGGGACGGCAAAGAGGAGAGAAAGCTTCCGGCTGGATGTCACAACTTGCCCTTCTCTATAGCTCTTCCCACGAACATACCCGCCACTTTCATTGGAGATCATGGTTAGTGGATGAATCATGGTTAGTGGATAAATTGAACAATTGGCATAATGATGATTTATCATTGCATTTCGTTTGTAATTTTGCGATTTAACTTGAAACTCGATTACACACAGCGACACACATTGAAACTTACAACACATACCTACAGGGAGGGTCCAGTATAACTTGTCTGCTAAAATTGATAGAAGAACACGATTAGACATTAACCTTGATGTCACAGTTGTGTCATTGCTCGACCTCAACCAGGATCCCAGTGAGTATTAAATTCATTTTTATTTTTAAGTACATTTTACATTTACAATTACAAAAAAATGTTCTTATTTTAAAACAACAAATGTTCTTATCTCACCAAAAAGTGTAAAATGATCAGTGATTAAGTTATTGTAAGCTAACAATAATAACATAGACCTTAATACTGTCATAAAACTTTGGTTCACCTCTCCACCAGTTTCCGCAGCTAACAGTTGCTAGTTTTAAACGGGCTATCCAGATCACTGAATTTTTGAGGAAATTTCGAGGAAGTTTTGTTGAAGCACCATTAACCCTAATTTGCTAAACAAGAGGGAAAATGTGAGATATCATTTTTGTGGACATAGGTTTTCCGTCTGAACTTGGGCAGTGTTTCTATTAAGTCAATGTAAAACCTTTTAGCTTGTGTGTTGATAACAGTTGCTCTCTTATGCTCTCTGGTATGACTCTGGTATGGCTCTGATTGTGATAGGGTTCTGAGAGATAAAGAGAAATGGAGAGAAAAGGCTAATGAATCTGGCAATGAGTCCGATCTTGAAAAGTTCCGTCAGTACCGCAAAGATTTTAAACGCATAATGAACGAAAAGATGAGACTCAGTGTCGAAGATGATTCTGATTCTGCCCTTATTTCCAAAAAGTTTTGGACACACGTGAAATCAAAGTCTAAGTCGACTAGGATACCTGAAACGGTCCGATACGGTGATCGTTTTAGGAACACACCAGTTGAACAGGCTAGCTTATTCAATGAATACTTCTATCAACAATTCTCCTCAAGTAGCTCATATGACATTGACATCGACATGAGCTCCAGTAACAATTTCATGGATTTGAGATTTCACGTGTTGGATGTTTTGTTAATTTTGAAAGGGGTTAAACCAGGTAAAGCCGCAGGTCCAGATGGTATCCATGGCACTGTGTTAAAAAATTGTGCGAGCACTCTTGCAAAGCCTCTAACCATGATTTTCAACACCTCTTTTGTGACTGGATGTGTGCCGGAGGAATGGAAGCTTGCTTCTGTTGTTCCGGTACACAAGAAGGGTGAAAAAGGATCTGTTGAAAATTACAGACCCATCTCACTGACATGCTTAGTTATGAAAGTTTTTGAACGTTGTATTTCGAAAGAGTTGCTCGCAGCTTGTGAAGGGTTAATCGACTGTAGACAACACGGTTTTGTTAATGGGAAGTCTTGCACTACCCAGATGGTCCCATTCACAGACAACCTTGCACTGGCCCTGAACAATAAGTCAAGATCCGACATTGTTTATTTTGATTTTGCTAAGGCATTTGACAGTGTATCACATGACTTAATCCTTCGCAAGCTAAAAAATTTATATGGTATTGATGGTCTGATGCTTAGATTTTTAAAGTCGTATTTACAAGACAGACGACAGCAGGTTGTTGTAGGTGGAGCTGTCTCAAGCATGCTTCCCGTGCAATCAGGAGTGCCCCAGGGATCTATTCTGGGACCACTTCTGTTTGTTCTATTCATTAACGACATGTTCTCGTGTGTTTCGGAGGATACAAATGTAGCATTGTATGCAGATGACACCAAAATTTGGAGGGTCATCGAATGCTTTGAAGACCACTATATTCTCCAAGGAGATATAGACAGGTTGTTTGCCTGGTCAATCGATAACAAAATGACTTTTCACCCTTCAAAGTGTAAGGTGTTATCTGTAACTCTGCAAAGAAATGTATTAGACAATCTTCCTTTTAATATTTATTGGTATAATCGTAATGAAGTCATAATTGATTATGTGGCATCCCATACAGATCTTGGTGTAATAATGAACAACAGGTTTCTGTGGGGTGCACATTGTGATCAATTGATATCTAAAGCAAGCTCGAAGCTTGGGCTCTTAAAGAGAACCTGTCATTTTACCATGGATAAACGCCAAAAGAGGGCTTTCTACCTTACCATTGTAAGATCAATCTTTGAACATTGCTCAGTTATATGGTGTCCTCAGCGATCGACACACATGTCGAAGTTTGAGGCAATCCAGAAAAGAGCGATCAAATGGATCAATGGACAACAGTTTGATCATTATAGTGATATTGTATTCTATGAGAAGCAGAAGGAGCTTAAAATTCTACCCATTAGATCTAAGTTCATCCATAATTCAATTACGCTCTTCTATAAAATAGTAAATGATTTGGTAAGTATATCTCTACCTGAATATATTACTGTTGTTGAAGCTGGAACAATGAGGTACACAAGGAGCACGGCATCAGTCATTGAAGGACTTGACACCAGCACATATACCTGCTCTATTGTACCAAACTGCGATAGTTTCAGAAACAGCTTCTTTTATAGAACAATGCTTCTGTGGAATGCACTGCCAGCCTATGTTAGACAGACTGAGAAAATTTCTATTTTCAAAACAAAGCTAACTGAATTTCTCTGGTCTTCTGACGTATGCTGGCCTGATTAGACGGCCCATCATGGAATATTATTATATATATATATTTTACTTTATGAATGTCATACTCTCTATAATTTGCCCCTCGCACCTGCAGTAGAACGCGCCGTTTTTTCTTTTATGAAACAACCCGAAACAAGCGCGTCACGCAGTACGTGAGTGGCTAGATTATAGATTGTTTTATTAAAATATTATTTAATTATGTTATTTTGTTGTTATGTCGTGTAAGTTTGTGGAGTAGTAGCAAGAAGGTATCGTATACATTTAAATTTGTTCTCTTGATTATTTATTAATGATTTTATGTAGGGTCGGCACCAATGTAATTATGGTCTTACCACCGTGTTTTGGTTCAGCCGAAATAAATTTTACCTTGATGTTTTTACATTTTGTTTCTCACTCCAGCTGAGTCTGGTAGTGTTGAGTATCATGAATATTTTTCTAGCTCTATTTTTCCATGTTTTTGCTTCACAGGAGATATTGTGGTCTTTTTATTGAATATAACTGTAATACATTGATGTAAAGTTTATTTGAATTTTGAAATTAAAAAAAAAAGTAAAATCGTTTAATCGCACTACGATCGTGTAGCCTTGAAATACAATTTAACTTTAAGTAGTAACCTGTACATGTTGGAGGACACAGATGTACACTCAACATTTTTCACTGAAGCGCAACAGGACTTTAACACTTTGATTTCTAAAGTTGCAGAAGCCTCGAACTGTGAACATGGTTTTCAGTTGAAAAGTTTGAAATGCCAACCAAGAAGGTTTTGTTACACTTAATGTATAGTGTGTACAGTCAGATGAGTCTCTTCGTCACAGAAACTATGAATGCAACGAAAAGATGCTGAAGAATTGAAAAGCATTCTCATCCGATTACAGGAGTCGGTTATCACAGCCAAATCGAAGCAGTGTGTACCGTATTCGCTATGTTCACCAAAAGTCACCAGTGCAGTTCTGATGTACCTCATTCGCCATATTCTCTAAAACTTGCCATTTAGATAAGATACATTTACTCGACAAAGCTCATAATATATCTTAAAACATAACCGCTGATAAACCACATTATTTCAGGTGCAGCATCGCCGCGTACCATCAGTGGGAGTAAGAAGTTTGGATTTCTCTGCTGTACTTCTGGTCCACTCAGCGCTACACTCTCCTTCCCCAAGCTGGGGTGGGTTGGTGGGGAGACCATCTCCTTTTCCGCTAGTATAGAGAATCTTAGCAACAAGGTCATGACCAAATCAACGATACAGCTGATTGAGCGCGATGTTTTCATATCATCGTGTGGTCATCAGCGGACCGTAAACAAGACATTATTGACCGACCAGAAGGGAATGATTGCACCGGGTGCCAGTTTCACGTGGATCTGGAGTGATGTCGATCTCCTCCTACCACCCCTCCTCCCGCCCTCCCACTTCATCCACTGTAACATCATAGATATAATGTACATTGTGGTGCTCAGTGTGCATCCCTCAGGGATTGGGTCAGATCTGAACGTTCCGGTGATCATCACCATCGGTACAATCCCACTTCGTCAACAAGAACAGGTGCAACACATCAACCTGAGCCAATACCAGCCGGACGCAAATGCATCGCCTCCAGACATTAGTGCACCGCCTCCAGACATTAGTGTACCGCCTACAGACATTAGTGCACCGGCTCAAAACGTTAATGCACCGGCTCCAAACGTTAATGCACCACCACAAGACATTAGTGCACCACCACCATACATTAGTGCACCGCCTCCAGACATTAGTGCACCACCACGCGACATTAGTGCACCGCCACCAGACATTAGTGCACCACCGCCCAGCTATGAAGAAGTGATGCACGGTGGGGCGGCGATGTAGGGGACTGAGGGAGAAGGGAATGAGGTCCAGGGAGGTGGGACTTATGCTACTAGTTATCCGACTTATGCGTTTAATAATAGCTAACTTCAAGACAGTCTACTCTTTATGTTAGTCACTTATCACTAACTGATCACTAACTGATCACTAACTGATCACTAACTGATCACTAACTGATCACTAACTGATCACTAACTAGTTACTAACTAGTCATTAACTAACAATTGTACACTATGTACAGTGCTTCAAGTATGCGATTCACATAGCGACTGCTAGCCCTATCACAGATGATTGAGGATCTCTTGAGCTGTTGAGGGAACATCACGGACAAGTGTTTCCCCAGGTAGGTTAGGGTTAGGGGTTTAGGGGATTAGGGGGTTAGGGGGTTAGGGGGTTAGGGGGTTAGGGGGTTAGGGGGTTAGGGATTTAGGGGGTTAGGGGGTTAGGGGGTTAGGGGGTTAGGGGGTTAGGGGGTTAGGGGGTTAGGGGGTTAGGGGGTTAGGGGGTTAGGGGGTTAGGGGGTTAGGGGGTTAGGGGGTTAGGGGGTTAGGGGGTTAGGGGTTAGGGGTTAGGGGTTAGGGGTTAGGGGTTAGGGGTTAGGGGTTAGGGGTTAGGGGTTAGGGGTTAGGGGTTAGGGTTAGGGTTAACCCTAACCCTGTTCGAAAACACCTGTTCGGGAACATATGTCGGGCTACTTGGATACTGCCGTTAGAACATGTTCACGCTGATTGTATGCTACTGGAGGACCAACTAGAACTCCTCCTCATAAATTAGGTAAGAACCAGTGCCGCTGGTCGGCTGCATGGTTGGAATTTGATCTAGTTTAAAGATTGGTTCCTCTATTGGACGTGCCAGAAGACAGCTCCAGGTTTTCCAATTTATTGTAAAGTTACTCTAATTAAACCCGCAAAACTACTAAGTTTCTTTAAGGCACTGCAAAAAAAGAAGAGAAAGGAACTGGTGTCACCGCGCCGAGGATCTTGACTCAAGTTCAGTTAGCTGCTCAGGAACATCTTTATCAGGTAAATAAGTTTTACAATAAGTCAGTAATTTGCTGATAAGAGTTGTATTGGACCTGTTTTTGCATTTAAAATTTATGAACGCATCATGGCTAAAGTTACATCTCAATATATCTGTTTCAGATAGGAACTTCTGTTTCAGATGCAGACCAGTATCTAGAAAAGGAACTGGGACTTGCTCCTCTGTCACCCTCTGTCGACTGGCTCCGACTCTCCAGGTCAATACTCCCAACAAGAAGTTACAAAACAGAGATCCCAAGCACCGGCAACTTCTAAGGAGGAATCGTCGTGGAGAATACACTCTTATAGGACAAATGCAGAGTCTTCAGGTGGTTCTTCTCGCAAACAGTACCACACTGGATTCGGTGCCCTGCAACGATCAGGACGAGAGAAGAAATCTTCGGAAAATCTGACTTAAACCTGGACATACTAACCACCAACCCGATAGAAATCCTGGCGTTTGCTAAGAAGACCTTGCTTGAGGGACCCTTAGACGCCTAGCCCATCACCACCACCACCACCACAACAGACTCTAAACTTTAAACCCGATTCAGATAAAACATAGAAATAGAATTGTTAGCCAACAAAACCCAAAACATATCAAATCAGATAAGCCTGATAAACAATTTTAGATAAAAACTACTAATATGTAGTATGTGATAGCAATGACCGAAACCTTCCCTTATTTGTGTTACTACTATAAACATTTTAAGAAAAGAATTGTCTCAGTTGTTTTCTTTTCTTTTTGTTACTTATGATGTTACTTTTCAATTTGTTACTTCATGCTTCATTTATTGAATCATAATCCGTGAATTATTTTAAAGCTGAGAAAATTAGATTTCGAATCGGTCACAGTGACGAATATTGGTAAACGTAAGGCGCATATACTAAGATTTATTATTGTTGTTAGTTACAGCATTTACCATAGCATAAAGCTGAACGCGCACAAACTACGCCCACAATTCAACCTCAGGCAATAGTGATAAAGCTAAAGCATGATAGAGGGAGCGGCCTGCCATAAGCCATACGGATACCCACTGTATGCAACGTACGTATACACAGCGCATACTTTTATTCCAAATCGCGTTCTGGTTAATCTATTGTTTTTAAATGATTTAATTTACCAGTTAAATCGCCCATGATATCAGCTACCACACATGTATAGTTTAGTGGCTGACGACCATTCTTTAGTGCTCCTTCATAATGATGAAATTGCTAGGTAACAGCTTGATCCGTACGAATAGACCACGTTGCACGTGCATGATTGCTTTGTGCATTGTCAATCTAGAAAAAGTTACCGAAATTTTTCTCCTGACCTAAAAAATCTACCTATCTAAAGATGATTCTTTCATTGTTAGACAGACGATCTCGATACGAGATAACCCAAGTGGAGGAAATCAGGATAGAGCCTGATTTCATGAGAAGAGCTTCATCGCTGGACTCTTGTTCCGATGAAGATGATAACCTGCCCGTCAATTTTGACACACACAAGATCGCTGACAACGGTCGAGGTGTGTTTTGGATTGAAGAAATAAACGAGGTTGAAGGCTTAACTTCATTTATTCTTCCTGGGAGTATCGAGGATGAGCCGGATGAGAACGATTGGAGTGATTCCTTCAATTACACCGAAGAGACCAAAGTTGAACAGCCCTTCAACTTACTTCCTAACGGGAAGCGAAAGAAAAGTGTTCGGACTAAAGTAAAGAACATGTTTAGGAATAAATCTTACCGTCGACGAGCAGCGTATGCACTCGACAGTAAATCGACATCACTCGGTGATGGGCTTGCTGCATCCTTGGATAAATTGAAAATGTTCATGAAGAACTCTATTGAACGTCTCCGACGATCAGAACCGTCATGGCGTCGTGGACCCTGGACAAACTTTGACGACGTGTTCAGTCATGGAGGGAACAACTTTATTCCTTTCATGAATCTAACTCCTGCCACTCGATGGTAAAGAAGATAACGAGGAATAAAAGATAAGGACTAAAGATCACGGAAATGGACTGAAATGAAAAACGGAACCTGAAACCACTATACATGTGCTTTTACAACCACATACCGGATTTTACAACTTCAATACCGATTTTACAACTACAAATCGGATTTTAGAAAACCTTTTAAAGACTTAAGCATCACAACATAGATGTCTAAGTCATTTTATTTTAGTCGGCCTTATGCCACAGTGGGGGGAGCAAAATTATTTGCTCTTCGTGCCAGCCTCGTAGCTCTGCTAGATCGTGTCGTGTGACAGGGTCTAAAAGAACTAGAGGTCCCACTGCCGCGGATCTGATTTGGCTGATGATCCTGGAGAGCGGTCATCTCCATTAATTGTCTTTTTAATTAACCAATGACATAATATTAGTATGTCAACCAGTCGCCATTTCATTTCAAAGTAATAGTATGTTATACTTCAAATCTTATAGAGCAAAAATTCTGATTCAAAAGAATCTTGTTTGATCTCGTCTCCATCAATCACTGCAACTAAACTAAAACATGTAACAGGTTTAAATTCAAAATCTAAATTTTCCTTACCTATTATACTATACTAGCAGGAACCCGTCTAACCCTAAAGTGGTGTGAAGACTCGAGAGACTAAAATAATTATTACCTATCTATAGGTAATAAATATCATATAAATATCACCATTATTATTAATATGAACAGGATGAACATTTCCAGAGTGTAGATTACCGTCAAAACACTGTGTACACACAACTTCTCGAAGCAGCTGAAATAAAATCCATTTCATGAAATAGGTATAGATAGAAAAAATGGCAGAAAAGGGAGAACTGCAAACGGTAAATAATTTTTTGTACTCTATTGTACTTCCTTGCTTCCTTGAAACTTCATAGAAACTTACCAATACCATATATGGAAGCGCTGAGCGCATGTGTATCAAAATTGACATAGCAATGACCGAAACCTTCCCTTATTTGTGTTACTACTATAAACATTTTAAGTTTGAATTAGTAGTTTTCTTTTCTTTTTGTTACTAATTATGATGATTAGGTAAACTACAACGAAGAAAGGAGCGATAGCACTCAAATATCTATTTTCTAAGCACAGGAGATATTGAATCATAATCTGTGAAGTGTTTTAAAGCTAGAAAATTAGATTTCAAATCGGTCACAGTAACGAATATTAGTAAACTTAAGGCGCATATACTAAGATCTATAACTGTTGTTAGTTACAGCATTTACCATAGCATAAAGCTGAACGCGCACAAACTTCGCGCACAATTCAGCCTCAGACAATATTGTCTGAGGCTGAATTGTGCGCGAAGTTTGTTGCAATAGTGATAAAGCTAGAGGGAGCGGCCTACCACACCCACTGTATTACCTGGGGACCTCAGGCTATCATGTTCATAAACATAGAATACTGAATAGAGATGAGGCGGAATGACAGGCTGAGCGCGACCCAGTAACCACTGTATGGAAGCGCTGAGTGCATGTGTGATGTGTATCAAAAGTTCGGGACATACATTATTTGTACAACTACAACGTGAGTCTCGTGAGGCAAATCAAACGTACTCGTAGTCGTGTCTATCCCTAGGTGATATGAGCGGCGCTCTTTTCGAGCTTCTCTCCTAGTATAATAATTGATCATACGTGAGTGGTGAGACTGAAAGCTAGGAGCGAGCAATACTGCAGTTCTTCTTCTTTTGATTGGTCGGCGTCGACTGTAAGCCTTCCTTGCGGTGGCTTTCACAACGCGTCCCCATTCTCCAACTCCTGCTGCTAGAGAGAGAGACTCCCAAGTTATATACCATAATTATATTATACATAGATATCGACAACAGACTCCGAGAGTCTTGAAGTTCTGTTACCACCGCCCCTGGTGCAACCCCTTACGGGTTAACGATGAGGAGACAGGGACTTCCAGGGACGGTCATGGCCTGCTACATGCAACTCGTAGGAGTATGCAATGTTCCTGTAACGTCATTGTAGACCACTCCTCTATCGTTGTTTTGAGTGTCCGATC